GGTCCCGAAGAAACGTGCTCAATTTTTTAGCTCAGCTCTGGTACTATCTTCGGTCCTAATCGATGCACCCCTCGAAACATAGGAAAATCCCCGAACCCCTCATTTTATCTGTCAAACATTGTGTAGTACCAGAATTTTGACTAGAATGGGGTCCGTTAATCGATTTGCTTGGGACCAATAGGCTAGTCAAGTAGTGAGTCAATTTGAAATCGTTAGTTTCCACCCGTTGGTAATACCATAGATGTAACTCTAAGGCCAGAAGGGGCAAAAAAAACGTGCTCAACTTTTTGGCTCACCTCTGGTACTATCTTAGGTTTTTTACCGGGTATGTTTTTTTCTTTTCTTGGTGCTGGCGTTCTGCCTTCCGGAAGATGCACGCGAATAATGTCAAGCAAAAATTCGTGTTGGGTTGTAAAAACAACGCGGAATATTTTTTCGATTACCGCGAGTGAACAAACCGGTCCTTTTTCGGAGGCAGAATTTGGTGAGATCCATCTGATTTATAATCAATCATAAATGCATATTTCCATATATTACTAAATACGCGCCAGATTTCGAAACATCACATTTCGAAATCTGGAAGTGTGTTTGCAGTACCATTATTCATATGATAACGGTAGTGTTTACATGCAGGGCTTATTGTATGTGAAAGTAACCTCGGAATGGACGTGAATTACCAGGCATTCTGAAATGGGTTGCTGAATCGGCAGTAGAGCTATCGCTTTCTAACTCCCGGACTAAACTTGCTTTAAATTATTACATCAAGGACTGTTGTAAGCAAATTTCTTCCATAATACCACTGCCGGCCAGTGGGGGTTAGATTGAATACACACACACACACACGCCTCTGGTACTATCTTAGGTCCTAATCTAATCGATGCACCCTTCGAAACATAGGAAAATCCACGAACCCCTCATTTTATCTGTCAAACTTTCATAGCTAATCAAAACAAACAAAGAATTTCGACTAAAATGGGATGCGCTTATAGATGTACTTGGGCCCAATAGGCTAGTCAAGTAGTGAGTCAATTTAAAATCGTTAGTTTCCGAGTTGTAGAGGTATATTTCTGCATTTTCCACAATTGCCATGGAAAGGATAGTTGTATTATTGGGTTGGGATACTTTTAGATAAGGATTTATTGTGGTAAGTGGTGTGAATAGATTAGTAAAAGCAGCAGACAGTTTTAATTAAATCTACACACAGAGTTTAGATTACCGAAGTCGGTAAAATTTTGCTGGGTTTTTAAATAGCTGAGTTTACAGTAATCAACGCAGTAGTTTTTACTTTTACTGAAAACTCCGTAAATCGCAGGATCTCTGAACTGTCAAAAATTACCGTTTAAGTCAGTAATGAATTTGCTGTCTATATCAGTAATTTATTTGTTTACCTTTATTTTTTGGTGCGTTGTTCAGTATGTTTATTTCTGCATAAGCCAGTAAATTCATCAAAAATGTTTATTTACTGGTAGTTAAAGATTTCTTTATGGTTTCATACGATGGGTAGGTTTTTAAGTATTTTTATTTAGGGACGAGGTTAACAAGTTTATCGCTTCCTGGTGGTTCGGCCGGTTGGTTGCTCTCTTGGTGCGCGGATTGCGTGTCCATGCCTGGAGCTCTACAACAGGCAATGATAGTGGATGTTTTTGCTTAAAAATCAGTGAAATATCTGGAAGTCGATTCAGGAGTGCATAAACTGCCCAATTCCGTGGCAGGTTTAGCACTCCTGCATTGGCTTCCAGATGTTTCACTTATTTTCAGATTTTTCACTTGAATTTTACAAAGGTTTTCTCTAGGGTTTTCTGCTGGCACACCAGAGATTTCCAATGTAAAATGCGTGATTTGAAACGGATGAGGATGACGCAAGCAAGTTGACTTACTGGTGAGATCATTTTTTTTTTCTTTATTAAAGAGATTTTTAGCCATAGGCTAGTTCATCTCTTACAACTGGTGAGATCAGCAATTGTGGAATATCGTTTGATGATTGTTCAGTAAAACATAATGAATACTGAAAACTTGGTACTCTATTTTACTGAGTTTTAGTCATTCACCAGAAATCTGTTATTTTACGGAAAATTCAGAACTTCCTATTACCGCATTCAGTGGTTGTTGCAAAAGTTACTGAGCATCAGTAGATTTATTGAAAATAGCTGAATGTTATGTATTTTTTGTGATTTACAGTTCGGAAACTGTAAGAAAAAATTACCGAATAGGGAAACCGTGATTAAGTGTGTAGAAGGGTGAAATCCAAATATGCACATCAGTTACAGTGTTCGGAAAAACTCAAATCTCATGCATGAGTTTATGCGCCTATGCGCCTTTGTCTTCCAAAATTCAACGTCGCAATTAACTGTTATTACCATTGTTTTTGTGTCAGGGGTTGGAAAACTAACACGCAACCATTAGACTGATGCAAAATTTGTCTTTTTCGCTCCACAGTGCTTAAATGGTTTCAAATCGGGTCCTGATTAGCCTCCCAAAGTTACAACTCATTTGGTTAGGAACAGACTTCGCACAAGCCATTTGAAGTTTACATGTAAACTACTATGGGAAATCTCAACTTTTTGTTCATTGCCTTCTAGTCTTTTTTTCATATTGAGCAGCGAAATAGTTCGATAGCCATTCTCAAAGAAAATTTTCTCAGCTACAACTTTGCTCAAGATCGTTTCTATGTAAAGCGAGACAGGAAAAAGTTATTAATTATTTAAGAGATTGGTAAAGTTATGACATGATCAAGCAGCTGCTCTGTAGGCAACACTGTATTTTGCAGTGTGACATAGTAGCCATGATTTTTGTGTCCTATTCAACGCCCCAGAAAAACCAATGTTGCCTGCTGAGCAGTTGATTGAGCATGATCATAAGACATCAGCGCATTGAACCATTGATAACTTTCGATCCTTGCATTTAATATAAAAGTGGCCTTCAGCAAAGTTGTAGCTGGGAAAATTTCCTACAAGTACAATTGAAAGCTTTTGAAGCAGACCGATATGGTGAATTAGTAGATAGACATGAACAAATATCTTGGTTTTACCATAGTAATTCCCATACAAACTTCAAATGGTTTGTGCCATCTCAGTTTCTCACCAAATGGGTTCAAATTTTGAGAGGTTAGTTAGGATCCGATTTGGAATCGTTTAAGTATTGTGGAGCGAAAAATTCAAATTTTGCATCACTCTAATAAGCATGGCTATAAATTGACGTTTGAGTGGTTTTTATATGTTTAAAGCTGGAATGATTTTTCGGCATTGTGAGAGTGAGTGCAATCTCAAGCGTGAATTTTGTTTGCTGCATTCTCGCAAGGAGGCTCAACACTGATTCAGGTGCAAATGTCCCGCTAGACGGCACTGATAAAATCTAAGGAGAATTTCAATAAAATTCTAAGAATTAATCCAAGGTAATTTTAAAATCTAACGAATATTTCTCGAGAATTAATAATAAAATATGAATATCGAATTCAAAAAGAAAGAGTAAATGCAAAATTTTTGTTGGTTTGTTTAATTTGTATAGAACAAAGAAATTTTTTTTTTCCTTTGGTTTGTTTTTTTCCGTCGATCTTGTTTTCCGTGCTGAGCACCAATGCTACCGACGTGCCAGGAAGGCAGCTCCCACACCTGGACCCTACCTATCGACCCATCAACTCATGAACCGGGGACCAACGGCTTTACTTCCCATCCGAAGGAAGGCGTGATCAGAGATGTTATGCCACAGAACATCCCGGCGGCGCCGACTGGGATTGAACCCAGGCCTGCTGGGGTGAGAGGTAATCACGCTTACCACTACACCACCGGCGCCGTTATAGAACAAAGAAATGCTAAAAAGTTGTAGAGGAAATCTTCATGTATACACCAGTGAAACCCCCTCTGAAACGATCGATGGGAAAATTCTGGGATGCTAAATATTTAAAGGATATTTGTGAACGAATAAGAACTTCAAGTAAATTCAGAAGAAAGTTTTGAGAAAAAAAAACTGTGTTGAATAATTCAAGGAGACGTTAAAAAAAGCTATGGAAATAAATTTTAGTAAATTTTGCATGAATTTTGAAAAGACCGAAGAGAATTTCAAAATGAATGCCAAGATTTCTTTGGAGAGAATTCTAGAATGTTGCGGTGAAAATGTCAGAGGAATTCCAGAAGAATCCCAAAATTTATCTAAGAAATTTCGAAAAGAACTCCTGGGATACTTCGTAAAACATGGGTCTCAAAATCAATCATGAGCGTTCGCCCACCGACTTCCAATACAAACAAGTTTGCTGCAGTGAAGATTACTCAGCAAGGTACGATACAGGTACAATATACGATTTCCACCATAGACAACCCTCAGGCAAGGCAGGGCAAACAATGATCACCGCCAATTCCATTATCTATATGCAATCAATTATTTCTGCAAACCCTGGCATCGTTTTTTTTTTTTTCAATCTCCACTTCCATATTCATTACGTCTTCAATGAAAAAGCGACTAATGAATGAACTTGAACATACACTGCGCTTTTTTCTCCTCTTGTGATTTTATATCAATTACCCACACCGACCGGCATCATCGTGCCGCGGTCGGTCGACTTAAGACTTAATCAATCTGTCGACGGATAGGTGATGAGTGTGGAACAAAACAAAACCCCACGTTGCGCAACTCGCGGAAGTGTGAAGAAGAAATGCAACGAAAATATACCACGGTGCTCGACGAACGATACACCTACCCAGGTTAGGTGGAAAATGAATGGTTCACTACAAATTTACGGATAATTTACCATTTAAAATGTGGACGAGCTTTTTTCTCCGAGCTTTTTGAAACAATTGGCAGTTGGTGTCGTCAGTTTTGCTAATTAGATTATTGTGCTAATAATACCTACATATTTGTCTCAGAAAAGAACAGAAGGAGCGCCGACTCGGCCGCCGTTGATTTGCCAACAAAACAACAATACCACATAAACTTGATTGAGAATAGGTCATTCACAATTTTCCCTAACCCTTTGTTTTTTTTTTTTCTTTTCGCTGTTTTCTTTGCAGAAGTACGATATCTATCCGGAGAGCCGGACTACAAATCAGTCAACCTTACCTGGGAGGTGGAATCGCTAGACGGTAGCGAACAACGGGATGAGCAGCATCGGCAGCACAAAGCAGCTCGCGGAGGCCGCCAGCAGCGATCGTTCAACGTGTACTACTGTGAAATACAGAACTGGGGACCCCACCGGTGTCGATCCAAGACACTGACCGACAATTCCGAGGATAGCGGGTGAGTGATCGTTCGGTAATCGTTTGAACGATTGATAGATTATTAATTGTTTGATTTGTGCAGGAGCAGTAAGCAGTATACGATGACGGTGAAGAACCTAAGGATGGCTACGAAATATTCTTTCCACGTGAAGCCTCAAACCAAACCAGGTGATCAGAAGATCAGTGGACGATCGGAACATGACGAAGATGAGTTCGATGGTAACTCAATCAATCTCGGTCAGACGGTCATCATTCCAACGAAGGGATGTGAGTATAGTATAATCAACCGGTGAACACTCGTGTTTATTTCAGTTACCGTGGGGACGTAATTCGTGATTAGCCCCGGTCTCTTTCAAGTTGTATCATTATTTATGTACGGTCCTTAAATTTGAAATGACGTTTCACATTCATCTAGTGATGGCCGATTTTCATTCAAATAATTGATTAATCGATTAACCAACCGAAAAGTAAAATATTTGTAATCGGTTATATCATGCCGATATAAGCATTAACTTCTCCAGAGGATCATCACCCATCTTTTCAAACATGTGCTGCACTCCCGCATAAACAATAACCATAAGAAGCGCCTTACAACTAATTCGGGATATCATCCCAACTTCATGTGGTATGGTCGCACCATCTATGATATCGTTAGTGTATGGTACCCGTTTATTAGGGCTCTCATTGAAGGAAAAATTGCAGCACAGTGAACAAAAAAAAAATCGATTTGTTGTTAATCGAGTAATTAAAAAATGGGACATCTCTGATTTTGGTGTGTTTGTTTTGATCTAAGAGAAGAGGTGACAATACGGGGGCGAAAATGAACCACTTTTCTGTCAAACGTGAACCAGCTCCTGATTGGCCGATTTCATGTGCGTAAGATAGAGATAGAGATAGATAAAGATAGAGATAGAAATAGAAATAAAAGAGGAAGAAGCCAATTGTCACCTCTTCCTCTTAGGTTTTGATATAAAAGAGCGAAAAATTTCATCTCTACCGAGGGCGCAGCAAAACCACAAAATTACCTTGAATACGGGGGGTATTCATTAGATGAAAGGGACCGTGAAAGAGGACACTAAAATCGAGGGGGGTGACACATCTAAATCTCAATTCTAGATGCTCAAAAAATCTCACACTAGCGAATAAATTTTCGTAAAATCTTCTTTCATTTCTCGCATCTACTTGCATCGCGCATCATCTTTTTGCAGGAAATTTTCAAAATCGTGATAAATCTTCTTTCTATCTACTCAGCGTACGCGCAGCTAGCCACAGCAAAACACAATATTTCCTGCATCGTAGATAGAGTCGTCCCCCTCGACTAAAATAGAAAGTTTTTCGTCCGACAGTTTCATCTTAGTATTCATCTTTGGTATAATTGGTATAATTGCATTACAGGTACATTGTGAAGGACCGGGATGTAAGAGATTTAAAGGTGTGAATGTGCTCACAGTCAAAGTTCATAAAAAATTCACCTTACAAAATGCCCAAACTAAATCAAATTACGGACGATGGACAGGTTTGGACCTGTTTCATATGACCGGAAGCCATTTTGAGATGTTTGCATTTTCAAATAAAAACAAAAAATATATGCAAAGTTAGAAACACTATAGAAAAATTACGTCCATAAAATTTAATTGTTGTTAAGTATTGTGTCAAACTTCTTAAGGAATTCAAGATAGAGTTGGAATTAGGGCTTAACAGCTTTTGTAAACAATGACTTCTTTCGATGATGTCTTAAAAATCAGCATCACCATCAGGTAGGGTACACGCAGAAAAATTTATCGTTGATACAAACATATTTGAGGTAAATTTAAACGTATATTCAGTTTGTTCTGGCCACAAAAATAAACAAGGTTTATTTCAAACGTATTCCATGTTTGAAGTCATGTGATAATAATGTTTAAAATAAAAATAATGTTACGTTTATTTTAAAAATATTCGTGTTGAAAATAAACGTGAATATTTTTGTTTGGTTTGACAACTATGCGAACAAAAATAAATATGTTTATTTTAAACATCCTTCTTATGTTTGAAAGAAACATACTTAATTTTAAATTATATTAGCATTAAGGATAAAGCAAAAAAAAAAATGGATTGCAAAGATATGAAAAAACGAACTGCAGACAGGGCATCTAAACTCCTACTCTTTTTCGGGTGCGATTAAGGGTGGGCTGTGGATGTTGGGGTCTTGGTGCGAGATGCGGAGACCCGTCGTGGTGAGTGTCCGGAGGTTCCAGAGGTTCCAGTTCAGTAAAACCAGTGAAACTTTGTGATATTAGCGTCGTTTTGTCGTTTCTAACGCTGATCCTCATACCGGCCTCTTTATACGTTCGGTGTTGAAGGAGGGGCCGCCCCGGTTGATCCGGAATAGATTCGAAATCCATTTAGGATTTTCGTTTTTCTTCCGACGTCAGTTTTGGAGGAGGATGATACAGGGATTGGCTTCAGAAACGACAGAGTGACGTCAATACTGTGGGGTTTTTCCGGTTTTATCGAGCTGGAACTTTGTTAAGACACTTACCTAGGTGTGCCGTTTTCAGTTGATTGGCAAAGCTGGGGCAATTTTTTTCCCTATGTAAACAAGAAGGGAAAAAAGGCAGGGCACGCTAAAAATCGTTTACCCAAATAATATATTGTTGAAATAAACATGCTTTTGACTTTAATTCAAACGTATATATTTTTGTAGCAAACATGTTTATAATTTATTTTGAATTATTCATATGTTTATATAATAAACATTTATATTTTTGATTTAAATGAACAAAATTCGGTTCCGTGTAAGACTTCCCCTACCCGATTGTAATGTTGGTTTGCGTGGGCGTGCCTTGAATTCCTAGAAATCATCGAGAGAAGTCATTAGGAACTATTCATTAACTACACGCAGAGAAATGATCTTAAAATTCAAATGGATATATTTTTGGTTGAGGGCTTATATATTTTTGGTATTGATTCAAATATATTATTCGGTTAATTCAAAGAAAAATATTTTTGAATCAACAAACCGGTTGTAGAGTCAATAATCTGTTTGTAGATTCTAAAAACCATTTTGTTGATTCTAAAATATGTTTTGTTGAAATAGTGATACAATACGTTTGAATCAATAACAAAATACCCTGGCCCTGAAACAAAAATCAATTTTTCTGCGTGTACGTAGACAGTTTTTTTTTATTCTTGCCCCCCCCCCCCCCCTCCCTGCGTAGACAGTTGTCCATACAAAAACTTTAATTTTGTATGGGCCGTGGATAAATGCCAACCCCCCTGAAATGTCTACGTAGTTTGTGGGTAGCCCCTTATTTACAAAAGCTGTTACACCCTTATACCAGCTCTATCTAGAATTCTCCTTAACAGTCCAGTGGACATGATCTCAGAAATTACTGGAAATTTTCCTCGTAGAATGGCCTTGAAATTATCCTCAGAATTTCATAGGAATTCACTTCAGAATGTCTATAAGTTTATCTCAGAACTCCCTCGCTTCATATTGTTTTCAAATTTTATTAGTTACCTCGCATTATCTAGGAATGCTCCCAGACTTTTTTAAATTGCTATTCTGAATTCCTTTAAAAATTTCCACGTTATTCGATTCTCTATAGAAAAATCATCTTCAAAAATTTTCGGTATTCACCCATAATGATATCCTTGTATGAAAAACACGGTTCGAACGAAAGCAATAATATGGGTGATTATGATCAGAATATAGTTCTATTGGAATTATTCTCGAGATTCGTTACAAAATCTGCTCAGAACTGGGTTGGTTTGTATTTTAATTTTACAACTGGAATTCTTCAGACAATTTGTGCATATTCTAACTTATACTAATTTACTACTGCTGGGTACCACGAAAAGGAAATATTTAGACAGAGAAAACAGAGGGATTCGCAATACAATGCAAACAAAATCACTTCAAAATGCCGTAAAAAATCTTGTTAGAATTCACTTGGATCTCTTCTCACAATCCTCATAGAATTATCTTCAGAACTATCTTTAAATTCTCCATATAATGCACATGATCCATATATTTTACGGTGTAACTTGGGACTGATTCACTGACACCACTGTTTGAGTGGAAATCGGGGTAATCGTGACATTCTTACCCCAGTGGTTCTAGGTTCGATCCCAGGTGAGCTCGTTTGGGTTTTCTGAACTGAAGAATCTCCGCGTCTCCATAAACATACTTATAATAACACTTTATCTTTTTACACTTTTCTGTCCCAGTTTCCGCCCACGCAACCCAATGCCTGCCGCACGCTTCGGAGATTGAGGTCCAAACGGGACCATACTTTGGTGGCCGTATTAGTTCGGAAAATGGCCATTGCAGCATTCAAGGTGACGCCAACAGTCTACAGGACATTTACGTGATGCGCATCGAGCACGAAAACTGCGGCAGCCATGTAAGCCCTGAGGATCTGACCGTTGAAACGTACATTACAGTGCAGGAAAATTTGGGAATTTTGACCCACAGCACTAGAAGGTTTGTAGTGGTTTGCACTTTCCAGCCGGATACGTTGACTGTCAGAGCCCGGCTGGCTTTGCCCGGAAAGGGACGAGGCGGTGCGGCTCCGGTTCCGATGACTGATTACTGGCCGGCTACTGGAAGGAATGCTCGTGTTAGACAATTCAACATGGTGGACAAGACCAGCTTGGTCCTCAAGGCTTCCGACGAGGAGGAAGTTGAAGATATTCTTCCAGCGCATGTCAAGGAGGTTGAAGAGAATGATGTCATTGGGCAGGTCGATCAGGAAGTGTTCACAGAGAGCAGCTCGGTTACCGATCGGCCATCGACCAAGCAAGAACTGAATTCCAAAGAGAACGAAATTGCTGAAAGAAAGGGAAACAGGCGACGAGCTGATAAAAGTGAACCCCTCCGCGATGCCAAGTATGCGAGGCTGTTTGAAACGAAGACTGCTGCTGGAGACAATGATGTAGGAGTAAGCGAAATGTCTACCGGAGCAGGAGAAGAAGAGTTCAGCTCCAGAGCTTCTGTTGGAAGCAACGACCGATCCGTGGACCTTCCTAGTCTGCTGATTTCCGCTTGTCTCGCTGTGATAATGATAGGTGCTTTCGTGTACGTGTTGCTGAAGGAATACAAGAAACAGAGGATAATCCAACAGCACCATCAACATCAGCAAACGCAACGACCGCCGAATCGGATGGCAGCGTTTTGAAATTCGACAACGCAGATAAGTGGTGTTTTTTCGCGATAAGTGATAGCTATAGATTACGTAGTTATAGGCATAATTTTATTTAACAGTAACCACGACTGGTAAAGCTAACGGTAAGTTTTAAACTTTATAGAAGAAAAAGTTAGACCACTATCTCTGGAAAGAGCGTGAATCTATGCTCTTTTGTTTTATTGAAATGCTAGCCTTTGAAATATGTTGGACACTAGCTTTCAATATTCTTCACAAGAGGTATTAATTTCAATTTCTCGAAAACGACTGAGCATAAGTCTCACCCAATGCTAGGATTCTACTCCAATTTATCTAAGACATTAACCTACCTATATTGCAACGCAACTTGAACATTAAAAAACAATTAACATGCTAAAAGGTATGTTTACGAGGAAAAAGTGTACAAAATTTTCTAAACTGCTTTTTGTAGGAACCAACACTGCTACTTCTATCTCTACTCTACTGAACTGAATAGAATAGCAAAAATCAAATATTTTGATTCCTAACTATATCGTCATCATGAAGTGATACTCTAAATATGAATAAGACTCTGAGCAATATTCAATTTGCCGGCATGCAATTCCAATAAAATTTACTTTATTATAAATCTAACAGGTAAAATCTGCCTCTATAAGACTTAGACCGAGTATGATATTACAAATTTAATAAAACTCAACCCAGTTAATGTAGGAGCGAAACGATACGATACTGTAATAAACATTTTTAGTCTAACATCTTAGTAAGTATGCTATCACTGCCCCGTATGTTTCGTCGACGTTCATCTGCTTCCTGTTCCTTAATACCAAATATCCGAATCTCCTTTTCAAGACGACCTGCAGCGAGGGCTGTGTTGGCAGCGGTGAGAAAGTCTTTCGTCTTGGCTTTAAGATGATCTAAAGCGACGGCGGCTTGCAATCGAGTGACATCGTCCTGTTCGGTTTCGTTGATGAACTTGAGAAAGCGGTAGATCCCCAACAGATAATCCTGGAAGTCGAGCAGGTTATCGATGCCCTCAATGAGCCGTGAAAGCACAAGAATGGCCGCTCGACGAACCGGGAGATAGGAGTCCGTCTCGATGGCGGACTTGATGACCAGGAACATCTGAAATTGGCGTAATTTTGAGTACCGCATGCGTCTGTAAGTAGTTCAAACACTTTTATGGAATGGCACTTAAAAAAGGACTTACCTCATAGAAGAAATTATGCACCTGATAGGATAAAATCTTGCACACGTTACCCAAGTTCGCCAAACTAGATGACCGGAACTCATCGATCGGATTCTTACACTCGCGAAGAAAACAATTGATGAGCTGTTCCCGATATTTGAAGGCAATTGGTCCGATGGCTTCCACCGTCTTCATAGTTGCTTCGCCGATTTTCAATCGGAAGTCCACGTTGTTATCGCCGCATTGATACTCTCTGATCAGAGCATCAATAGTGTCGGCTTCCAGAACGTCACACAAGGCTACCAGCAAGCGAACCGAGTTCAAAAATGCATAACTTTCCACATTTCTCAAGTTTGTTAATGCCAAAATGAGAACCGCATGCTTCTGAGTAAGCGTTTCCGGGTCACGTTCCCTCAACAAACCGATCATCAGCATTGTACCGTATACTTTGCAATAGGGTTCCTTATCGGAACACAAACTAACTGCATTCTGATAAGGGGTCAATTCAAAGTCCTTCTTAGGCTTGCTTCCTTCACAAATTTGTTCAATTTGAGATCTTAGTTGATCGCTGCAGTAGCTAGACGATTTGAACTGCTTTAGAAGCTTGAGAATTTCCTGAACATCCTCTCGAGTTTGCAATCGTTGTAGATATTCTTGAAATATCGAGAGGATCACCTCTAGTAAGCTCTCATTAACATCTGTTCCTTCGATGCTCCTAACCAGAAGCGATTTAATAAACGCAAGTATATCGGAGGGATTTTCATACAGCTGACTATGGAAGTGCTTGTGACTGATTAGTTCCACTAGCGCTTGAATGATAACGTACTTTTGATAAAATGTTTTACACTTGGAAGCATCCTGTTCTGCTGCTTCTAGAAGCAAATTCTCGTTGGTTCCCTGTAGAATACAAAAGTTTAGTAAACCTGTATAACAGTTTAAAATCTTAAGAAAATTACCACACTTATTCGTTCAAAAAACTTCAGAAGCACTATGAATACGTCATATATTAGAATATTTCTGTTGGACACTTTGAGGATTTCAATCAACGTTGGCGCTAAACTTTCTTCATCTTCCTCTTTGGATGGACCAATTTGTAGCGAATAAGTTTCGGCTCCCTTTACAGCTTTAAGGTAGATTCTTGGATGAAATTCTTTAGTCACGTAAGCAGGATTCTCATTTCCAAGCAGTAACTCTTCCAATACTGATTCAAGTTCAGGTTTCTCACGATTCGATAGGCAAAACAAGATCAGCGTTTGTAGATATTTTCTTTCTTCTGCCGCCGTTGCTGACAGCATAGAATATAATTTAAGGAAAACGTTAAGATAACGTACCAGAATCGATGAGCTCAAAGAAGTGCATGAAGATCCACTGAAAGCCATATAATTTATATACAGCCCTGCCATCAACTGGGAACGTTCCAACAGAATTGTTCCGCTCAAAAATTCCTTCGGTTCTGCCAGTTGATCAAACCTCCCCACAAAATATTCATCTATAGTAATTCGAAGTTCCTGGTACGCAGACGGAAGCAGGTACATTTGTCTCAGGCACTCAATACAAGTACCCACAAAGGATAGATTATCCTGCTCGCTGCTAAACAACGACGCTTCGTAGAACTGGAATATATCGTGAAGAACCTGTCGGTAAAATTTCTTAGTGTGACCTTTACTGGCCAAGATCTTTGCAATGATTTCGCTTTTTTTCCACGTGGGTGTCTCGTCCGAAGGGACATTCGCCAGCAGTGTTTTGCATAGCACAGGAAATCCTCCTGATTCTCCAGTTAATCTGAGCAGCTCCAAATGGATTTGTTTTGCCAATTCTAACGGTAGGTTCGGAACGCCTTTGATAACTAATAAACTTTTGAAAACTTGCTCCGTTGGAAATAATTCTATGCCTTTGTATAGCAAATTATCTCTCAAACATCCGAAATCTCCCAGTAGGAAATGATAGCTGAACACTCCTGCAATATATTCTAAAATGCAATGTTCTAGTTTCGTTTGCACAGCAACAACCTTATACTCGAATAACTTTCGATACGCCTCTAGGCAGTACTTCAATCTTTCCCGGTGTTCGTCAGCTTCAAGTTGAACCATCATCTTCAAATCGCATTTTGTCAACCCCCGCAACTCCTTGGGAAGGTACAAGTTGACGGTGAACTGCCGTATTCGATCCACTGCCTTTAGGAACAGTTGCTGTTCCGGAAGATTAATCAACTCCTCCTCTATTGCGTCACCGTTATTAGAAGTGCGTGTCTGAATTAAACAGCTAGTCAGGAAGCGGTGTTGAATGTGAAGAAACTGCACGGATAACTTCCACAGGGGATCGCCTTCGTCGCACCCCAGAACAGTCAGCTCTTCATTAGCGGGTTGCAGGATGGATTGCAGGCGCGCAATACTCAGATCTATATAGGCAAATGTTAGTTTATAGGATATCAATCGACAAGATAAGCTTTCTAATCTTACCTTCAGCTTTAGTTTCTACTAGATCTGTTAGGACTTTAACGATTGCATTAGAATTCATCGTTATACTTGGTCATAAACCAAAAGCTATTTAATTATTATTATTGATTAAAAATTACAATCAAACGAAACTCACGACGATTTTGTTTTGCACGCTGGTAATTTAATGTTTGTAAACTAATATAAAGGTAAATTGATGGTAGAAGGTATACCCGTATGCTGTCAAAAAATCTATTGCACGCTAATAAAAATTTCTCAAAATTCTCTAATTTTGAAAAATATATCGATTTTTATACACTATCTGAAAAAGCTTCGTTTTCTGAGCACACCGATATTTTTTTTAAATATCAAGATTTAAAGCTAAATAATAACTTCACTGTTTGACACTAAACTAATAAATTGACTGCTCGCTTCCATACAAAGTCTCACCGCTAAGATGGTGGTTTCCCGCATAATCAATAATCATAAGAAGCGCCTAACTACCAATTCGGGATATCATCCTAACTTTATGTAGTATGGTCGTACCATCTATGGTATCGTTAGTGTATGGTACCCGTTTATTAGGGTTCTGCCATTATAATCGCACTTATTTGAAATAGTTCCAGTGTACCAAAATTGATGAAATTTTGAATTCCTGTACCATTTTTAATGCAGAATACGAATATGCATTTACCTCAATATCTTCAAAGAACCCAATTGGTAATTTATTCATTTTTGAGTATCGTATTAATTTTATTACTCAAGTTTATATTGTCAGATGTGCCCTTAGATATTTTTTTTTGCAAATTTTCTCATACCCTCGTCTCTTACTAATAATATGTGCTTACCTTCGAGGGGGCGTCACATCTAAATCTCAATTCTAGCTGCACGAAAAATCTCACATTAGCGAATCAATCTGCGAAAATTTTCTTTCTTTTCTCGCATCTACTTGCATCCCACATCATCTGTTTCAAGACTCAGTCTGTGACTTTCTTTTTACGTCCTTGTACCTCTCATTAAACATAGATCCAAGTCAGGTTTCCATCATCCCAAATTTTTGAAACCTGCTCGCTCTCTGGTGGTGAGTGCTATTCGTGATGCCAGTACGAATCATTCACTAAAAATTTGTTGAATTTTTTGCGTGTAAACTTTTATTTGCGCAGTTTAATGGAGTATTTTGGTAGTGTTAGGTTAGCGTGCATGCTCAGGGTTCAGGCTAGACCTTCCTGAAGGGCTTGTGGTATACCTTCTTTCGAGGTCGAAACGCCATCGCAGCTGTCAGTTCAAGCTGATTTTCATAAAAAGCGATAGAATTGCAGAACAAAAAAATCAAGCTTGATTAAGATATCGTCAAAAATCGTCTTTTCATCCCATTTCTAGAGCAATAAGTTCTTCAAAATGCTGATCAAAGTGAAGGTAAGCTTGCGATGAAAATAGTAAGTGCCATATACTGCGAACTTGCTGCGTTTTAGACCTTAACCGGAAAGGAAATCGAGATCGACATTGAACCTACAGACAAAGTGGATCGGATCAAGGAAAGGGTAGAGGAGAAGGAAGGAATACCCCCGCAGCAGCAGCGTCTCATCTTTTCCGGCAAGCAGATGTAGGAATCTAGATACATAATAGGTATTTATTATTCCACACACTGATAATGTTTTGTTTTGATAAGGAATGACGATAAAACGGCACAGGATTACAAAGTGCAAGGCGGTTCCGTGCTCCATTTGGTCCTGGCACTACGCGGTGGCCGACAGTAAATAAAAACTATCTTGCAAAGCCGGAAGTGGGAATGATTTATACGATGCATGTAAAACAACGGGATCCGCAGGCTGGGATGAACAACTGTAAGATGAAAAAACTCACTCTTATTCTCTTTTCTCATAAGGTCTAAATTATTCTGTTTTACTGTAATTTGATGAAGAATAAAAAACTCTGCCGTAAGAAGTGTTTTGGAATCGGAAATGGTTGAGTCTTTTATTATAAATTATCACCAAAGTATGAAAGTTCATAAACAAAAGTTCGGTTCTACAATAAAAAGCGGACAATGAATTTATGAATTCTTCATTAGGGGTAACTTTATTTAATCAACTTAGCTTTCTTATTCGCTTTCGCGATTTTACTCTTCAACGCCTTCACATCGACTTTATTGCTGTTAGTTGCAGCACCTGCCTTCTTGGATTTACTTTCATCAGGTGCAACGAAGTCCTTTTCTCGGCGTTGTTTTTGAGCATTGGAGCTCTTTTGCTCCTTATTGACCCGTTCTTGGTTTCGTTTGGCCTTTTTCTGTGCCTCTGTGAGGAAGTATTCTCCAGAAGCCAACTCTTTGTCCACCTTGCTCTCCAACAACGGAGGAGGGAACGGTGTATAGTTCTTCTTTTTCTTCTGTTCTTTTGGCTTCTTCCGCTTGGTCGTGTTCTTTGACTGGAATTTAGGCAGGAAACGTTCCCAGTTTTCCTCCTTTAGCTTGTCGTCTTTCATAAGCTCTCGTTTAATCATTAGAGCTTTGATGTTGTAGATTGGATGAATATTCTTCATCGTTTCTTCAACGACTTTCCTCACACATTGTAACCCTTTGTAAGGGCCAATGGCAGAAACTGTAGCTCCTTGGACCAATACATAGCAGTTCGTCAACAACTCCAGTGACTTCAGTGTACATCCGTTTGGGCCAATCAATCGATTCCTTCTTTTCACGAACTTTGCCTTGTTTCGAACCAGGTTCTTAATTTTTATAATATCGCAACTGATTTCATCCTCCAGAACCTTAACTGCCTGTTCGAAGGGAACCGATCTGGATAGTAGTTTTATCAAGTCTCGTGCCTTCAGGACGATAAATGGATCCCATGTACTCCTGGTGGTTTTAACCGTCATGTTACCTTGAATCAAATCCAGCTCAGCTTTCAAGTGGTGTCCATCCAATGCCTTCTCCACCAGCGGCCAACATTCCTTGATGTACTTCTCGCGGTATTTCGGAAATAGACAAGAGAACGAACTCTCCTCTCCCAGTCCTTGGGGATTATCGTCCTTCTTGAATTCCGGGATTTTCAGCAGCCAAGCGTTTTCCACCGGACCGTTGAAGTGTTCAATGTTCCCAGCTTGGTCGTTGGCGTCGGAATCGGAGTCGCTCATGATTTTTATTCCAGCTTTTTTTCTCGAGAATAACGAAATTAAAACGATCGTTTCTGGAAAGAACAATGTGCACGTTGTTTTTATTTACATGTGGAGAGCAAGTTTAGGTGAAGCTTAATGTGAAGGTGAGAAATGTCACTTCATGAAGTTGAATGCAGAATCCAGCTACCAACGTCACATGCCCCTTCAGAATCACTTTTTTATTAGGGGATATTGAATCAAACCGATAAAAAAAAATTTCAACGCAGAAGAAATATACACGGTTAGAAATAACCTTACACCTTTTGGCAAATTTATGTTGCTGATTAATTATAAAATGTACCCTAATAAAAAATACCATAAACGAACAATATCGCGGATGGTAGAAGTATCCTACAAATGGTTTGTATGATACCGCGAACACGTCGTTAAGCTTTTTCTTATGGTTATTTTTATTTGATTTTTGATTTTGATTTTGCGAGACAGAAGGGGGTCTTATGAAGGCCAGATCTCAAGTCTCAAGGCCAAATTCCAGAACTTGAGTGGAACATGGTTCTCACGTCAGACTATAATGTCTAAAATCAACCACATGCCCCAACCAACCCCTAGAACGGCTCCCATACACTCTCCATGCTGAATCGTGAGTCCCCCCTTTTCCCATATCATTACATGCAAAATAATAACCCGATGCAGGTCAATTGAATATGCCTAATTGAATTAGTTGCAATGATAGTGTTAACAGTAATGGCAGTATAATATAGTAATTTAATAAAATGAATATTTACCTGTTAATAATGATCGAGGTTGGTGAAAATATTTAAAATAAATAAATTCATTCTTACCTTTTTATGGTTGTTTGATTATTAATTGCTATTATTACCTGCTTAGAGTTGGCTCCTTTAAAATACTGTGTAGAATTTACCTCATTATTCCTCAGTTCTATCGATTTGTGATAGAACCACGCTCAGCATATTATACTGTAGTACGACTTGGGCATGCACCATGCAAGTAAGTCATCTCTCGTCAAAATGATGGGATATGGGGTGATGATGAAGGGATATAGAAAACGAATAAAAGAACAGAAAGAAAGGTATTAGTATTGGTTACATTAACCCCCCCCCCCCACACACACACACACACACACACACACACAACGAAAAAGAAACATAGATGCACAGACAAACAGAAATAACACATTTAATATTTTTCTCCACAAAACATAGTCACTAAAACACTACCGCCATCTGTTGAGTATCATGTGATGGATAGTACGCTGAACAGATGGCGCTAGTGTGCAAATGTCAAACGCAAGAGAACCGACCGTGCGCGCCACAGGTGGCGGCATCACCAACCAAAAACACCCGAATTGACCGTCAAATGCGTATTCGATGAACAACCTGTCCAACCGATGTCTGTTTGTCTGTGATAGATGGGTTATTAGGAAAGTACAACTACATTATAACTATTAGTGCAATGGATGAACGTTAGTTTCGGGGTCATGTTAGTGTTAGAGTTTTGTTAGTATTGACCCGTATTCAGCCCTGTCGGCCCCTCGAACACTAGTCGCAGGCAGTTGTTGTTAGGACATGCGACACTGTCACAGCTACTATGTTAGAGGTATGACCCGTCAAGTTTCAAAGTGCAAAAAAAAAAAAAACTGTTAGAACTTTTTTATAAATTAATTTTACACTCAAAGCAAACTATTAAATATTAAAATTATGATAAAACTACAATTTACGGCTCCGTGAAATTAACTCGCATGAACCATTCAAATCAATAAACTGGAGAAAAACTACAATTTTATCAAATTGCAAAAAAAAAATCATAGCGACACTTGACAAATCATCATCAAGCCCCTCATCCTTGGACAGGGCTTTTTCTTATGGTTATTTTTATTAGGGTATAAAGCGCTGTCCAGACTGAGCAGTTATAATATTTCAAATAAACGCAACACTATAATATACAACTTTCGGAAAGGTGATAGTTGCCCCTATCCGATGATGATGTTGGTTTGCGTGGGCGTACCTTGGTTCGCGTGTAAAGGGCCTTAGAAAGTTTGTTTACAAATGCTTTTGTGCCGTTATCAAATGTTATGCCTGATAAAGCATATAGCACTATAACATGTTATTCCAAGTAACCATAGACACGTTATTTCGCCTGTGTGGCTATATACGGGCCTCATCAGAACTTACAAACACTGGTATAGCCCTTTTTAAGCTGTATATAGCCAAAAAGGTGAAATAACGTGTCTATGGTTACTTGGGATAACTCCGTAGTCTGAACGTACTATAAGTCGACTAATAATAAGACGATATGCAACAAAGTTAATGAGAATCATGTGGCAGATGAAATGTCACACAATCCGTGTATACATTCTAATATAGGACCTATGCGGTTTGTCTTATGGAATGTACAAGGCTGATGTTTTGGCAAAAATGTATAAGTGAAACACATGAATAAAATAATAAGATTTCCGTTTCGTGTATTGTTTTGAATTGGGTACTGTGGACCCACTCAATGTACTTGTCACTTGGAAGCCAGTATGTACTGTTTTAATATTGATAAAACATTTCAAGCAGTTTTCCATTGGTTTGCAAAACAGAAATTGTTTTGGCTCCCATTCGTTGCCATCTCTTTTACTCAGAGGCAAAATGATAGGGAGCAAAAAGTGAGGTTAGGGACCGTGTAATTAGCTACTCATTTACAGTTGTTTAACGTTTTATGTACTTTACGGTTTTTTTTTTCATTTCGTTTATTTGGAAGGCTCAAATGTTATAAAAATAACTTAGCGGAGCCGAGTACATGGAATACCAATTTTGGTACTCAAATACCAAAAAATATATAAAAATGCATTTTATCATAGGATTTTTCTGGGTGGCGATCGAAGCGGCGACAAAGCGATCTTCTCCCGTGCACGCAACTTCTTTCTTTCCCAAATTTGTTCCGAACCCGAATCGTGATCGCTGCTGCTGCTTCTGAACGTCGTTTTCCGTTGCATGCTCTCCACTACTCTCGTCGGTCGTCGGGGTCGTCACGTCCATTTCGTTATTTTCATTCAGCATCTCCAACCTCGTGTCCGTTTCCTGGTCGCTAATGACTAGCGACGCACCTTCCACCACTACACCAGCATACGTACTGCTGCTGTTTTGTTTTCTTTCACTTTGCTGCTTTCCTTTTTCCTTAGGTTGCTTCTCCGCTTCCTTCCCAGCCTTCCGCATGGGACAGGAAAGCTTCCGGTGTCCGTCCGCCTTGCACAGAAAACATTTATCTTTGTTGCCTTCATAAAATATATTTCCTTTGCGATTGAAGAAATGTAATGACGTGGGGATTTCCTTCTTCACATCCATATATATACCGCGTATCCCAGTATATACCTCAAAACACAGATCAGATGGAAATTTCTCCCGGATGATGCGTTTAATTTTTCCATATTTCCCCAGCACTTTATCCAGCTCGTTGTCGGGTACCTCTGGTGGCAAGTCATACACACGCACATATTGAATGTATTCACCAGCATGCGACATGCGTACCTTTGCCGTCGTTCCATTCGCATAATGGAAGATTAAATCCTCCGAATTGAACGTCAGAGCATGGAGCATCGCTTCCTCTGATTTGAACTTGATGAATACTCCCCTTTCCTCACCAATGCGATAAACAGCTTCCATTTCACCCCGATCCGCATCGAGTGCTTTGGCGAAATTTACAATCTCTCCGATGTTTGGTTTAGCATCATGGTGGCTGAAGCTAAACTTGATGGTGTTTTTTACTTCACACATCTTGCACCGTAGCAACAAAAGGCACCGAACTGCTAGCAACGAACAAAGAGCAACTATATAATAGCGAGTCTCGAAAACAGGCTATCGCGTGGTTCACACCGAAATAAAAAATCGACTGCTGCTGTAGACAGCTGTGGGACAACTGTACTTTACGGTTCATGTAATAAATTCTGTAATGAAGACTTCTTCAATGATGAGGTCAAAACTCTTTAGGGGTTGGCAATTATCCACAGACAATACAAATTTAAAAAATTGTGTATAGGCAATTGTCTACGCAGGAATCCCAAAAAACTGACTGCGTAGTTAATGAACAGCCCCTTACCATTATTATGAATACCTTCTATGATTCATGTATGAATATAATTATACCATTCAAATTATCGTTCGTTTTGCGTTTCGCCAAAATTTTGCAGTATATTACAACTTTATCTAAATTTATATTTTTTCCATACACAAGTGGTTAATTGTTGTTCATTAATTTATTTGATAAGGTTCAACTGAATTAACTTTACAGAGCCGAAGATTCTTGTTCACTATACATCTTAAAACTATAGTCAAAATTTACAACATTTTATCTTCCGCTATACAATAAGCCTCCTCCACCGGAACGGGAGCCGCTTCCAGTGGTTTCATTGTATGGCAGATACGTCAACGGGGGTCAGATCGCTTCCATTGCAGCAATGGACGAAAAACGTGGTTAGCACTAACACATTCATCACGAAACGGTTGCTTTCCAAAGTCGACGACGCATCGACTGAAAGAACTGCTGATGAAGAACAAGACGATCGCGTGACACACATTGAGAGTGGTCTGCTTCTGTCGACAGCCGAGTGAACACTGACAAGTGGTTAGTATGATTCTGTGACACTACCCCGAATGTCACTACCCCGAACGCCATAACCCCGAACGCCATAACCCCGAACGCCATTACCCCGAATGCTACTACCCTGAATGTCCTACTACCCCGAATGGCCATTACCCCGAATGCCATACTACCCCGAATGGCCATTACCCCGAAATTAAGACAAATGAAAGAACAGCAAGGGGTCAAAAGAAGGGTACATTTTTAGAAGGAAATTTCGTTTTGGAATTTATACTGAATACAAATGATAATTTTTTATTGGAATTTTGAAGCTTGCATGCGAGCAAGCTTGTTTTACGCGAGAAGCCCGAGAGATGTCGTTACTGAGGTCCTATGTTTTCAAGAAAAACTTTTTCAAAGTGTTATGTCTGTTGTCTGTGATTAAACTCTCTGATTAGTTTCACTTTACTAAATTGATGATAAACTACGTTTACTTATATGGAACTATGTATTTATCAATTCCAAACCATTTTAAAGCTCTTTAGAAAATGACAACCTTCAAGTTTTCGAGCCCCTCGTTCACCATTTAAAAAGTCAAAGGGTCTAATATGCAATCCAATTCAATATGCAATACCAGTCGGAAACTGTTAAACCTTATCAAAGAATTGTTCGACCTGAGTCTAGACCTGAGTTGAAGAATTTCTCGTTATGGATTGAAAAATTGGTGCATGGAACGTTGAACTATCGATTACAAATTTATAACATTATTCCACACGTTATTATCCCAAATGGTCATTACCCTGAATCCCTTGCCAAAAGCTATTGATTACATAGTTTCCTTATATATTAAAAGAAGGGAATATTCCCTTCCCTTCTTTATCATACATCCAAAGAATAAATTATTTTCTTTTTATATATTCAAAGAAAGGAATATTCCCTTCTTTATCGTTCATCCAATAATTAATTATTTCCTTTTGTTATATTTTCAAAGAAGGGAATATTACCTTCTTTATCATATATTTAACAAATTGATTATTTTCTCTTTTATATATTAAAAGAAGCGAATATTCCCTTCTTTATCGTATATCCAAAGAATTAATTATTTCCTATTGTTATATTTTCAAAGATGGGAAACCCCCTTGAGCCATTAAGGGGCTGTTCATTAACTACGTAGACAGTTTTTTTGGGATTCTTGACCCCCCCCCCTTCCCCTGCGTAGACAATTTCCCATACAAAATTTTTAAAATTTGTATGGACCGTGCACAATTGCCAACCCCCAGACCCCCCCCCCCTTTCCCTAAACTGTCTACATAATTTATAAACATATCCTAATAAGTTTTTTCTTTTCTTTTTATATACGCGAAAGAATATTCCAGGAATGACTATAATAAACAAAAATAGTCAATCTAATACATGGCATACTTTTCTGGGGAATGGTACATTCTGGGGAATGGTTCATTCTGGGAAATGCTTTTCTGGGGAATGGTGCATTCTGGGGAATGGTGCATTCTGGGGAATAAGAATCTGGGGAATGGTTTTCTGGGGAATGTTATAGAATCCTATCATTTGTATTCAGTATAAATTGACCACTTTGTCAAGCAGTTTTGGCGTGACTTTCTACCAGCGATTTCACAAAACTGGACCAACTAATTTCTATTTTTAATTATAAAACGCACAAATGTTGGCTACTTTTCTCGAGGTTCTAGAAGAAAAAATCTCAAAATAATGTTTTATTTCAAAGTTTGAATGGTAATAAACGTCATTTTAAGTGCTCGAATGAAGTGGTTAATTAGAAAAGAAAATTTCCTTCTCAAAAATTTATCCCTTGCTGTTCTTCTATTTGTCTTAATTTCGGGGTAGTCGCCATTCGGGGTAATGGCTATTCGGGGTAGTGTACTATTCGGGGTAGTGTACCGTTCGGGGTAACGGCGTTAGGGGTTATGGCGTTCGGGGTAGTGACATTCGGGGTAGTGTCACAGAATCGGTTAGTATACCTACCTAACTTCATGTACAATCCAAACAAAACATATATACCATTTATAATAATGTTAGAAATTTTCAAAACTTAAGTTATGACTTAGGTGCGGAATTATGACACTTTACGGTACTCACTATGATTCATAAGAGTTTGGTATAATAACTCGAATACCTAGGTGGTTAGGCACTTTGAGTGATTGTTTACTGTGCGAGTTGTCCCGCATGGTTTATCCACCTAGGTTTATGTTTGACTTAAACCAGGCGTACCAAGAATATAGCAGATGAAGAGATCGGCTCGAAATAAATTACAAATGACGTTTACTAATTTCGGACGATGGGATTTTCTCCCCCTCTGGGCCATCGAGAAAAGTTGTCATTTTGGCTATTCTAAAAAAAATCGTTATGTTTATTGGTGTTAGTTAGTTTAGATCTCGAAAGTACATTGATGCTGAGCACTACTACTTCCATTAACTACAAAATTAAGAAAAGTATGCCTCTACCTACAAATAAAGTCCAATCGTCCATTTATTTCCGAATTCATCGAATAAACATATTAGGTATAGGATAGGAAATTTAAAAAATACAATCGCTTCGCTGCCGCCGTCTAGAAAAACGCAAAGCTCAGCGACATATCACAAGCCTCATCAATCTTTCGCTGCATCATTTCCTGATCTTCCGAAGATTTATCGTTCACAATTGACATACAACTATCGTCATCCTCATCACTACCGGTGCTTCCGGTTCCATCTGGACTCACTTTCTCTCCGATAATTTTGCGAAGCTCCAAGTGTGGTTCTTTTGACGAGTCCAACGTTTTCTTCACCTGGAGATAGATGCTTTCCGCTTGCTCCAGAACGGCCGTCACATTCAAGTTACCAGACAGCTCATTCACATGTTTGAGGATCTCGGTGAATGTGAATTGCCCGTTTATGAAAATGTCCATCTCCTGATCGAGAATGGCTACACAAATGAATAGATGGAAGTTCGGGCATGGAAGTCCAGTCCATAGCACTTCCCATAGGTGCATAATATCTGAATTGGAAAATTCCCGTTTGAACCAGACAAGAAGCCATCGGAAGCAGAAATACATATTCTCCGATTGGTTGTCCGTCAGGTATTTGTAAAGCTTTTCATTCACGAATGCAAGCAACGTTCGCAGATGCTCCAATTGCTGTTTCATTCCCTTTTGATCGATGTCAAAGTTGTTGAAAACTTTATCCATAAAACCCACAAAGCACCAAAAACTGTCTGCTTGGTTCTGAACGAGGCACAAAATCGGCGCCAGCAGGTCGCTCATACCCTGAACGTAGCCCAAATCAAAGTTGTACATAACGTATGTCATCAAAATTTCCTGCAGTTTTGCAAGATTTGGATTATTGTCACCGGCGAAGAAGTCGTATGTCCTATCAGTGCGTTTCACGTCCTTTTCAATTTGGCATTTGCGTTCTCGATAGCCAGTAAAGTTACGCTCCTGAATGTCTGTCATCGTCTGCCACTGGAGTTTCATTAGGAAGTATTCTTCGGTTTTGGTCATTCTTCTTTCTTCCCTTTGAGCGGTGGTATGATCCCAAATGTCCAAATCAAGCAGGTACTTCCATACCTCAGCACGGATCTCATCGGTGATGCCCTGGAAAATCAGGAAGGGTGGTTAATTTTTCCTAGGAAAGGAAATGTCATTAACTTACTCCTCTGAAGATGATATCTTTCACTCGGTCTGCATCAGTAATCGATCCATTAGATGCTCGAAATTCAGCCCACTTCTTGGCATCCAAGGATTCGCCTCGATGCACGTCAGGCCGGGGTGCCAGTTTGTTGCATTCAGCCTCATTACTTTCGTCACTTTTGCTACCATTAACTTCGTCGGTTCCATTGCTAGTCGCGCCATCCTCTTGCGGTGGACTAATGCGGGTCCTGGTTTCTCCAGGCTGTTTGCTTAAAGGCAATATTTGGTGTACGTTGGCCAGCCGGGATAGTAAACCCATGTAATTATTCGTAGTGCGAGGTCTGTTTCTGATGTCTTCGATGTTGAGCTCTGAGAATGATTTCTGCAGCTTGTCGTTGTCTGCTTCTTCCAAACAATGATAGAAGTGCTTTCGGCGAGTGCTCCTTCGAACGAATCGCTTTCGCTCGAGAAAGTCCACAAATGAATGTGGCGAACCATGATTGAACAAATATAGACTGTGAACGGTCAAGTCTTGATTGTACAAACGAAGCTCGTTCTTGCTGAATTCGATTCCTCTAAGATCTCGGAACAGCACTCGGATGGTAATTTTGGAGTTCTTCTGTGAATCGTTCTCAGCGTTTGGATTTTCGTCTGATGTTTTATCGGAAGATACAGTTAAAGTATGCACCAGGGACCAATCGCTGTCCTGACTGTCGGTGTCCATGATTTCGCACATTTCCGTAACCTTCCACTCGAAGAAGTGAACATTCCCTTTATGATATTTACAAAAGTACAGTACACCAATCGTGTTGAGAGCGGACATATAGCTTGCACTGGCCTTTTTCAGCGTCACGCCATGCTGAATGAAAATTTCCTGCAAAAATATAAATCAAAATAGGCATTCCATTCTATTTTAGTGAAAGCTAGGTTTTGGCACGGAAGTCTTCCAAGGTCATTTAGCTGTCTAGTAACTGAGTATGTTACAAATTTGACGCATTTATAATAATAAAGGCAAAAGCCCAAAACAAGCTTCCTTATGTGTGCTCACCTCGAATGTGCTTTCGTTGTCCATTGTTCCGTAATTCGATGGCTCCCTAATCACTATTTCCGTGTTCCAGCCGTAGTCTGCTGATGACACCTTCCCACGAAGAGGTGCAATAAAATTACTCACGCCACTACCACTTACACTGTTTCTGAATCTGATGACGAAAGCCCGTGTGAAATATGCTTACACTAGATTCCAATATTCTCACAACAGATTACGAGCTAGTGGATTTATTCAGAGAATATTTACACCAAACAACGACATACTGACTGCACAATAATCAAAATGGGAGTGTTTTTCACTTTGTACGCAGTCAACACAATGAACTTTGTAACCAAAATATTTTTCTTCGTTTCTTTTTTCTTGCATCATTCGCAACTTGGCACGAAAACGATCAGTAGTCGGTCGAGCGTGGGAAAAACGATAAGTTGATTCGCGACGTTTTTCCTTCATTGTTTTGTCATGCCCCATTCATAAATAAAACAAAGTGCGGAGAAGTTGTAAATAGATCCATTGAAGGTTTTTCTTAAATTTTAGGAGCTACACGAAAGCCAACCAGTAACTTTCAATGAAAAAATCCACCGACCAGGACAAAGGTAAACCGCACAAGGAGAAAACTTTCCGAAACAAGAACAAACGAAAATACAAACGCAAGAAGTCTAGCGTCAAGCAAACGAAACGGATTTTCGAAGATAAACCATACGCTGCTGCTGGGAAATCTCCCTCCACGGCTCCGGCTTCGTACCCTCCAAGACCGCGGTCAATTTATCCGCTGGTAAAACATGCTCAAAACGTGTGGATTAAAACGTATCAGAACATCGTAAAATGGCAGTTTCAGCATCAGGTAAACTACTGGAAACAGCACGCCCTGCAGCTACGGGAGGAAAATGCACGCCTGAGGAGGTGTCTCGCGGTTCAGGATTCCGAGGACGAAGATGACGAAGGTAGGTTTATATCGGATTGTTTCATTATCAGCCAGTTTTTTGTTTTACTTTTATGCCAATATTTTAAACAATATTCTCGATGGGGTCATCAATAGAGCGTTGCTCCTCACTAAAATTGTTGTTTCCGATGAAATATTCCGAGTCACATCACAACTACCTTGACAAAAGTGGAAGAGGACCTGGCCCAATTTGCTGATGTAGTCAAACAATCATGTGAGGTCCACTAAACAGAAGGGGAAATATTGAAACATGAAATCAAACTTTTTTGAATTTACGTTAATATTATCATCAATATTTTCGTCGTCAATATTTGCATCAATATGATTGTAAATACTTTTGCCCATTTAGTGCTTGCTTTAGCAAAACCTAACAACTTACAAGGACCTTAAATAGCTTGGTCAGTTAAAGCACGGTATTACCAAGCGATTCCCGGCTGATCTAGAAAATCTTTCGAGTGGGAAATTTTCTCGACTTCCTTTTGGCATATAGAGTATTGTTCATTGGCGTAGCTAATGGGGGTGTCAAGGGGGCCTGGCCCCCTCCAGAATTATCCAGTCCACTCCCCCCTTATTTTTGATGTTTTTTTTTATTCACCGGTATTTTGTCAAGCTTATCAAGTTCGGTGTTACTATTTATCAGCGATTAGGGGCTGTCCATAAACTACGTAGACAGTTGGGGGGGGGGGGGGGGGGTTGAAAATTATCCACGGTCCATACAAATTTAAAAATTTTTGTATGGGCGATTGTCTACGCAGGGGGAGGGGGGGGGGTCAATAATCCCAAAAAACTGTCTACGTAGTTTATGAACAGGCCCTTAATGAAATTGGACCAAAAACAATGATTTTCTTAAAGTCACTACTTTTCTTATGTTCTGGACTAGAGAAGCAGTTTTGAGGAATTATATTATAACGATAATTAATCGATGACAAAATAAAACGTCTTCAGGCTCTGCAACTTGACCATGAGCTCAGGGATTTGTCTTTAACTCCTGGGAACTTCGTTAAACTTCAAGGACTTCTAAGAAGTGCAGGGAACATCGTAAAAATTGAGAAAAATGACTAGAAATTCTGGGAACTTCATACATTTTCAGAAAAAATCGTAGAAACAAGGAACTTGGAAAAGTTCTGCGTAGAAGTGGAAAATTGATTTAAGTTTGAGAAGCTTCGTAGAAGTTAAGGGTTAAGGGAATATTATGTTATTTCAGGGAAGCTTATTATTGATCGGGAACTTCTACATAATTTCAGGGTACTTGCTTGAAGCCTCATGGACTTGGAATATTTGTGGAAATTCAAGAAATTTCGTTCGTGGAACTTCGTGGAAAACCAACGAGAAACGTAAAAGTGCAGCAAACTTTGCAGAAGTTTTGCGAATTTCGTAGCATTTTGAGGAGCTGCGTAAAGCTTTATATAAGTGTAAGGAATTTTGTAAAAGGTCTAAAAATAGTTCAATAAACTTCTATGAACTTAAGGGATCCTCACTTCAGTTAAGGGAACTTCGTTGCAGTTTGTCAGAGATCTTACTTCATAAAAGCTCCATGCTCTTGGAGGTTTTGGGAACTTCGTTAAATTTCAAAGAATTTTCTAGAAGTTCAAGAATATTTAAAGATGATAGGTGTCTTTCCAGAAGTGCGAAGATGTTTAGAGATCTTCGTAGAATAATTTGGAATAAATTCAGGAAATTTTGTAAAACTTGGGTGTTTTATAGAAGTTTAGTAAACGTTGCATAAGTTACAGGATATTCTTTTAAGACATCCTTCCTAGACCTATATAGACGAAGATATTAGTAAAGTTCTCTGAATATTTTTCCAAGATTTCAGCTTGATTATGTTCTGAGGATCTCAAACTGTTTAATAATTCAAATATCCTTTCAAGACTAGGTTACTCAGGAAGTATTCAAAAGTTTTCCAGCTAATTGAATCTGATGGAATCTTGAATGATGCATCTAGATTTTATAGACATGTTTGTACATTCTCTATAGGGAAGACACGTGCCTTGGAGATTAAGCTATATTGTCAAAAATTAGCAGCGTATTAAAATTTCTACATATACCTAATATGTATAAATTTCTATCTTTTCGCTGAAATTTATACCCGGAATTCAGCAGCAAAATGGTTTGAATGGCTTAGTTAATAAAAAATCTGTGATTTTTGTATGCTTTTGTGATTAAATAAATTAAAAATACTGAAAAAGCTCTTACCCGTATAAAATACGCGTAAATAATAAATTGGTACCGAATGGGTTTAACCAAAAATTTAATTTGTTTTTAATATTCATATAGGGGAAATGACGGCTTCGGCATGACAGACTATTTTCGGCAACCCAAATCAAAACACTATTTTCACTGGATTTTCTTACGAAAACACTTCGCTGAATGCATGCAAACGATTCTTTATGCTTTTAGCTTCAATTTGACTATATTTTTACCACTGAGAAAAAGCAATCTAGCAGGGTTTTCTTGAAATGAAACACACGCACTACAAATTGTAGCTGATTTCGACCCAGACAACCAGAAGTCGTATAACAATGTACAGACAGTAGCGTAAATTTCTACAGTTTAAGTCAAAATCGCATATAAGAATGGCATACCTCACATTATGTTTAAGTTAAATCGTATAGAATGCAAATTTCCGACCTATATGCGATGACTCATTTTTCCGTGTTACTGTATCACAAATTAAATCGGATTACATCGTAAGACTTTTCAAAATTAATTTGTTTTTATAGATTAAATCGAATATGATGTTAAAGCAGCTCGTTTAAAATTAAATTACAATATGCACGTATATGGCCTCCACTTTTGTACGTATAAGCCATTTATTTGCATTCTATACGAATTGTTTGTTTGTATATATATTTGTATATCACGTAAACAACTTTGAATATACGTGCATTCTGGTTGTCTGGGGAGTTGCCGATAATAGAACAGCAGATTTGCATGCAGTTCAAATGGAACGGTTGCCGAAGAAAAACTGGTTGCCGACAATACTAGCTCTCACTAGAGAAGATTGGAGCTTTGTAAAAGCGTTTCAAAACAGTTTTGACAATTCTTTCGACTGAAATTGATAGAGCAGCTGGCAGCAAAAGATTGTAAACAAACCAATACTGCATATGTGTGCGTTCCATATAGAAAAAGGCTATAGAAATAAGGTCGCTGCTTAGGTTGCCGAGAATACGTAAATTCCCCTACTAGATTTTTACTGAAATGACTGTCTAGGAAGGATCTTGGTGGGCGTTGGCCAGATTTGGATTTTTCAGATATAATCCTAAATAGGACCTAGATTATTTAATACTCTAGTAACCTCAAGTCCGTGCTCTGTCACAATGTTTCATTGTGATTAATCAACACTCAATGGGGTAAAATATCAAATTTGGGGTGAATTTGAAAGAAAGGGAACTTGGAGTGTAGAGCGCACTGCCCACTGGACGATTCTGAAGCCTGGCCAAGTGAGTGGGGCATGGGTTTATTTGATTGAACGTCATTTCCAAACATTCAAACCATTGGCATTTGATATTAGAGATTAGACAGAGATAGGATGCGGAGGGCCCGCTTAGGGGGAGCGTAGCCCATGTTATGGTTTCCATTTATTAAATTGTTCAGATAGGCTAGAAATTACAGGTTCATAGTGAGAGAATGTACCATATGGTGCCCGTTCACTAATCAAAATTAGCTTCACATCATCAGGCCCTGCCCAAGAATAAGAAGAAATAGACGATGATTTGTCGTGATTTGTCAAGTTTTATTTTGCAATTTGCATATAATTGTAATTGATTGAATTAATGAATGAATTAAGTAGTTAAGATAATAATAAAATAAGAATAATAAGATAACGTAACATGATGCACTAACTAATTAACTGGATTAACGGGATCGACTATGGGAATAGGAACCTAAATTAATTACATATTTAAGATTAGCGAGATTTAATAACCAATAATTGTGAAGATATGGATTGGGAAGGGGATCTGGGAACATTTACATAAAGTTCGCCCATTGGGAGGGATATGATAAGACGGAAGCTACAATCCCCCCATTTGATTCGCACGGAGGGTCACCTCACACGAGGTGACAATTGTCACCTCACCGGTGACAGAGAGTCACGTGACTCGCAGAATAAGGGGGAATAGGAGAGGAACACAATAAAGGAATGCATTCAAGAGGAGGGGCTTGTTAAAGCACTGTTTTTCAGATTTACAGATTTCTGTTTTTCAGGTCTCTTATTCAGCGGAACGCGAGGATGGAAGTCATGATAAACGACTAACGATAAACTAATCCCAACCAAGTTTTGAAGAGAAACCAATAACTAGTTGCAGCTGAAAGGAGATACCAAAAAATTTCTATTCCTGTTTCTGTCGGTATTTGTTTTTGTCTCGTTTCAGTCAAGCAACTGATTACTACCAATAACCAATTACAATTAACTAGTGAAGAAGTATAAACGAATTTTGTTGATTATGATTATGAATTAAATCCGCCAGAACATCGCAGCAAAGGCAAACACTAAGGCGGTGAAGCGTCAATAAGTAAATCAAGCAAGCCGATAGGAATTTGACCTGGGCCCAGGTCAAGCAGCTGCCCAGAATGGAAGTCTTTCACGTTTGCCCTGTGCACCTCTGAAGGTTCCCAGGCATTTGAGTACGACAGCGATGGACGTAGCCCCCTTGGAACGGAAATGAAAGCGAACAAACCTGATGTTGCAGAACAAGCTGGCGTGTTTTTTTAGTTCTTTTTATTTCTTTTCAGCAAAACAACAAAATCCTCTATTTCTCTCTTTATTCTTTTAATCTCTTACTATCCCCTAGTCGGACGCTAGTGGGACCAACAAGCCTGCTAGTGAAAGGAAAGCCGTTATAATATTCATATACAATTTTATCTAAGTCTTAGTTTTCATGCGTTGTTATGGACGATGAAACTTATGTCCTGGATGATTTCAAGCACCTTCCAGGGCTGGCTTTCTATTCTGCTATGGTCAAAAATGCTACAGCTGAGAATTTCTGCACGAAGAAG